TTCAGTGTAAATTAAACAGGATTCTAGAGGTACAGCTGTTCGATTTGACCACGCCCACAAATGTTTGTCATCCAATCATAAAACAACAACACATGACATCACAAATCCAACCAATCGCTGATGTTCTCAGAACCCGTTAAGTCCCAAGTTTATTAAGTCGTCTTTTGCAAAACATACTTTTGATGACATATTTCAAATGTTGGAACAATTTTATGACACAAATCGGCCTCATTTACTTCACATATTCCAAAAGATTCTGCTTTATTAGTTTCACCACAGGGTGGCGCTGCAGCTGCAAGTTTTAGTATGCACAGCATTGGTTTACTAGTTTTTGAGACATGAATTGATTAATTGGATCAGTATTGGTATCATTATTGTCATGGTGCCCCTCTACTTGCAAAAAGATTCTCCACCTGGTGGTGCAACCAGGTACTGCAGATAATCTAAATGCTGGAAGTGTGTTTTATGGAGGAACCCAGTGTTGGATTGGGACCAGTTACATAAAGAAGCATCACCTCAGTTTACCTGATAGTGTAGCTTTGGTTCTGTATTATTATTAGGGTCCGAGCACCCAAAAGGGTGCGAAGACCCTATTGGAACTGCTCTGATTATTATTATTATTCGTCCCAAAGACACGCGTTTTTGAGGCCGTAAATATACTCGAAAACTCACCAAAATTGCCATGTACGTCAGACCCGGTGAAAAATTTTATAATTTGGAAGAACAATACACACCTCAATAGAAAAATTGCTCCACAGTGCCACTTTCAAAATTGTCAAAAGCACATTTGGCCTAGAGCTACGCAATTTTGTAGGCATATAGAGCAGGTCAGGATGAATAAAAAAGTCAGGCTGGGCCAAGTTGTAAAATGCAACACGGCTCAACGGTGCCCCCTACAATATTTCAACAGATTCCCATTGGGGCTATGTTTGATTTACAACTACTACATTTGCTNCAGCTGTGCAGCATCAGTTACCATGGTGATGTAGCAGGTTAAAACAGAGCCACCTCCATGAGTTTAGAAACTGATCATATGTCAGTAACTCATTCATCTTGCTCTATAGTGCAGTCCTCTGATAGTGCTGATATAATATAATATAATTCCATGTTTTGTTGATATTTCATCTGTAGAAATGTGACGTTTCCATGTGGCTGCCTGCCTCTGAGACGTTTCTCTGCTCTCTCCTGCAGACATCCCCGTCTTTCCCACCATCACGGCCACGGTGACGTTTCAGGAGTTTCGCTACGACGAGTTCGACGCGTCGATTTTTACGATTCCCAACGACTACAAAGAAGACCCGAGTCGCTTCCCCGACCTTTAACCTCCCCGCTGGACGCCAGCAACAAGGCGACGCTACGCTACGGCACAGACTTTTTAAAATCACAACAACGAAGGGAAAAACAAGCGTTTCTTGACATTTTCTGGATCCTGAACCCGAAACCCAGACGTCCGAACGTCTCCTCGTATTTAAGAGTTTTGAGGTGAAGCGCTGCAGCTTCTGACGGAAGCAGCGGCTGAGGCACAAAGTGCAGGAAACTTTATGAGAGCAGCAAACTAAAGGGCATTGAAGTGAACGTGAGTTCTGTGTACATGAGGAGGATGGGATTGGTGGATGCTTTGTATGTAAGTATGTTTATAAAGGGACTGTAGTGAAGCACTGACGTCACCACGGAGACGCTGCAGAGGAATTCCACTTCAAATCGGCTTTTAGGCTCTTTTTGTATTCGCTGGATCCGAACGAGTCGATTTAAGGAAATGTTGAGGTGTGAAGAATCAGTTTAGTGCAAATTTTTATTCATTTGAAGGTCTGTGATGACGTTTTAGACCAAAATCACTACAAACCCGAAAATCAACTTTTGCAAAACCTGAAGGTAATTTCTAGTTGAATTCCCCTCCAGCCGCGCACACGATAACCTGTGAGTGACGATTTACCGGCGTAGCATCACTGAACTCGGAGGCACTACCCAGACCCACTACAGCTGCTTCCAGTCGCTCCACAGACACTTTGTGATACTGAACCTTTAACCCTGCGTTCGGAACATTTAAGTTTTCCTGGAGGCGAGTCGATGCTGCAGGTTTTTATGGTACAGCGGGTCTAAGTTCTGCTCATTAATCCTTCTGTTTCTTACCTTTTTTAAAACTGTGCGACAAACTGTGCAATCCTGCTAAAAGACGAGACCCGAGGATCGAAGAACAAGTAGGTTGAGCAGCGTTGGTGACATTTTTACAAACAGGCTTTTCCCTGCACAACATAGAAACAGTACGTTTTTCATTTGTCTTTTTTCATCCTTCTTCTGCAAAGAGGAAAAGTTTTTTGTTTTTTTTTAATGTAGTTAATTTGGGATTTTATCGGGTTGTAAATGGTGGCTTTTATTTTTTTGTACATACTCGTGTTGTTTTTAAGAAAATCTTTTAATTAATTTTTTCTCGTCATGACGAACCTTCAGATGTGCAAAAACGAGACGACAGGAGAGTCGAGCGTGAAAGTGGCTACAAGTAGTGAAACTCTAAGCGGAGCGTTTAAAGGTGCTGCTATGGTGTAACGTTGGTACAAACGGGTTCCTGCAGGACGTCTTAGTGAACCGGTGGATCCCAACCGTTGAAATAATCTGCTTATTATATCCATATTTAGCATCGTAACCAAATGCAGTTTCATTTCTCACATTCCTTGGTGCGGCTCCTCTTCACTCGTTTTATTTTCGACGCTCCTTCCCGACTCGAGCTGCTTCGGTTTTACACGTTTTCTGTAGGAACTTCTTCATCTATCTACCGTCAGTTGTACAGCAAAACCTGTTGTATACGTCTGCGACACTATTTTCATATAAAATGTACTAAAATAAAAATCCACGTATCTAACAAGAGTTTGGGTTTCCTGTTTTCTGAGCTGCATGTTGCTTCTGGTAGAAACTAGAAAACTGTCTTGTGATTGAAGCTCAAGGTTTATTGAAGGTTTGTTGCTGTTCCCTCCTTCCTCAGAGCTCCAGTGAGCCTTGACCCATTTAGATTTTTCCACTGGAGCGCCCAAAATCGCACAAAACTTCTGTACGCTGGCTTCAAACTTGGTTCCGAAAGTGTTCACTAGCTACAATCATTTGGACTGGTTTGATCCAAACCCAAAAAACGTACGTTAGCCGATTCTGGGACACGGTACAAGATGTCGGAAATCGAACACACAAAGTTCGGGGTTTAATTAGGATTAGATCAAACATGTTAGGAAAAGAATCAGAAGTGTGCTTCACATTAAACTTTAAAAAGTCAACGTATGCTAACGAGCTGTTTGGCAGCTATTGTGGAGTCGTAATGCTTGATAGTCTTAACGCAGAATCATGTTTCTATCCTAAAATACGGGAACGGTAGTGA